CTGGTGATGCGGGGGGCGAGAGGATGGGGCACTGGTGATGTGGTGGGGGGGCACTGGTGATGCGGGGGACGAGAGGATGGGGCACTGGTGATGAAGGGAGGGGCAATGAGAGGCCTGTCTCCCTGTGCTGCAAAGACTTTTAGAGGAGGAAGGTTTTCCAGCATTTCTTACAGCCATTCGGGCCCTGGCGCACCATAATCTGCCCTGGAAGTTAGCTCATTAGCTGAGAACATTTTGTCCTCCGCATTCATGTTCTTCGCTCTGGGCTTTCATAATCTGTGTTGCCTCAGGGTAACATAACTGCTTCTGCCATTCCTTTAGCAAAGCTGGGGCTTGACCCAGTAATTGCTTTGAAAAGTAGGAACAAGGCCTTAAACTTGCACTTGAAGCTGCTTGGAAAGAAGTAGATGAACTAGAGAGAGGCCTAATGGAGGAGCAGCACAGTGGCACAGGATGGCTGGGTGGCCTCGGTAAATAAAGCAGGTCCCATTCCCCAGTGTCATAACAAGCACCCTGGAGTAGCCAATTTTAGGGCAACACCGGGTGCTATAAAATACAAAGACAGAAAGGACTAAGAGCCTTGGTGAGAGTCAGTTGAGAAAAGTTCAGACTAGAGAATGGAGGGTTGGCTCTGGGGAAAACTTAAGAGGGCTTTTTCTACTCCCTTGAAAGTGGAGAATTAAGTGTAAGCCAGTGGATGGGGCCAATTGCTGATTTTCCTGAGCTAACAAAATCCAAGTCTAGAGAAAGCTGAAGGAAGAGAGCTACAGGAGATGTCTGCAGTCTCTTGGAGCTGGAGAACTGAAAGCAAAGAGCTAGAGCTCTGGTAGAAAGCTAGCATGTGTTGAGAGATGCTGGAATTGTATTTTCATGGATTATGGCAGGGCTACTCAACTTTGGAAGCCCCAGGAACCACAATGATACTCTCAGCACATGCCGAGGCCCGCAACTTAAGTGTGGTTGCGTATACATGCAAAAATATGCAGATAGCTTCTTTCACACTGATTGGCATGAATACAAAGATAAAGGCAAGACTGCACAACACACAGGCTTCATTTAAGTCAGTTCTGCTGATATTAATAAAATGAAATATTTACCCGATTTCCATCCATATGACAGCATGTTTAATGAGCAATGACAGTTCACGAATTTACTTACTAAAACGCATATCAATAGACGAACATTACAGGCAGTCCCCGGGTTACGTACAAGATAGGGACTGTAGGTTTGTTCTTAAGTTGAATTTGTATGTAAGTCGAAACTGGTACATATTGAAGGGGAATCTCTAGCCAAACATTTCTCCGGAGCTCAGTTTTATTCTCCCACACCTCACTTCCCTCAGTCCTTTATTCTCAAGCTGAGGTGTCTGCTGAGGAAAGCCGCTCCGCGTCTCCCTGGTCTGCTGGGGTGGGGGGAGGGGCGCTAGCTTCGCATCTCCCTGGTCTGCTGGGGGGAAGCAGCTAGTGTGGGGTTGCCTCACCCCGTTTGTAAGTAGGGATCCGATGTAAGTCGGATCCATGTAACCCGGGGACTGCCTGTATAGTAAATGAAATAATGAATTCACACTACAGCATGATCCCAAACTGCACCGTGGGCCGCAAACAAATGGGCCATGTGTTGAATAGCTTTGGATTATTGTGTTGGGCCTGGGTGTGTACATGGGACTACTAAGAAGGACTGGTGGGACTATTCCTGGCAGGCTCCAGAGGGAAACAGGCTAGTACACCTGAAATGTTGCATTAACTGAAACCTGTAAATTGTTCTCATGTTCAATTTCAGATACAGAGAATTACAGTACAAGAGATCCCTGCTTTATGATGGCCCAATTTACGATCCCCCACACTTACGACTTTTTCTGTAAGTGCGGAAGGGGCCGAAATTGCCCGACTTATGTCCTCGGCCCCGCATTTACGATGGCTTATGACGCCTGTCATAAATGCAGGCTTGAGTTACAATGCTCCCTACTTGTGACACTATCCCCAGAGCCAATCGCGTCACAAGTTGGGGGCAGCCTGTAATGCAGACTGGGGTGACATGCATGGCTCAATATGCCTAAGCACTTCTCTGGGAAGAAGAAGCAAAGTTTCCTAGCAATCTGGAGTCGAGTGTATTTTTAATGCGGATGCTACTTAGTCAGCTAAGTTTAGCGGGGCATCAGAAAGTACGTGAAGGTTTCACATCACTGACAAATGGGACCTGTATGCATTCAGTAGAATGTGGAGACAGTGGCACCTAGTTCTTGAAAGAATTTCCTCTTTAGTCGTGATCGCTTTCATCTTGTCTGGGTTGAGCTTGAGCCAGCAGCTCTTACTCTGTAAAGTTTCTAACATCTTAGTGATAGCAGTTATATTTATGGATCATCAGTATATTGTTGACAACTGCACCAAATCATCTTGCTGTCTTTTCTAGTGGTCTCTAGTTCTGTTCACGGGGATAGATGGTATCTTAAAATACTATTAGAATATCTTAGAGTGATATTCCCTCTTTCATATTACAGTAGACTTCCGATAATCCGGCACCTTTGGGACCCAGGTGGTGCCGGATTATCAGAAATGCCGGACTATCAGGAGGTACTCTGGCAGGGGCGGGTCTCATCGGAGGGGAAGCGGGGGAGGGTGTAGGGGTATGCCAAACCCTCCCTCCTGCTGCAGGGAGGCAGAGCCTGCGAGCGGTGGAAGAAGAGAGGCGGTGACAGGCAGGCAGCTGCATTCAGGACATTCTGGTCAGTTACAGTCACTCCGGCTGGATCCATAGCCGACACGCAGTTAATGTAACTTTCCTCTCTACTGCAGGGGGGGAGGAGGGCGGTGGGAACAGGTAGATCCACAGGTGACAGGCTTTTGCTGAAACTCACAAGAGATCATCTCCCCTCCCTGTCCCTGCTGCTTTTACCAGTAGACCGATAGTCCAGGATCAAAAGATCAAGTGAGTGAGCTTGTGCAAAAAACCAGAGGCAGCAGTTGAACCCAGTGACTGTAACTGACCAGAACGTCCTGAATGCGGCTGCCTGCCTGTCACCACCTCTCCTCTTCCGCCGCTCGCAGACTCTGCCTCCCTGCAGCAGGAGGGAGGGGTTGGCACACCCCGCCCCCTCCCCCGCTTCCCCTCCCACGAG